CACCTCTCCATCTGGACCGACCGCCAGGCCCGCTGAGCTCCAGACCAGAGAGGGACAGAGCCCCGAGGGCCGCCATAAGCCGCACCAGCAGCCTACACACCCGAGGGCCACCAGGACCCCCACAGACCGCAGTCAGCCCGCCACCAGATGGAGCCAAACCCCACCAGGACGACCCGGCCAAGAGCGCCCGCCCAACCGCCGACAGTGCCAGGAAGCACCGGGAGCGAGCCCCCACCACAGGAAAGGGGCCAGCCAGCCAGCCATGCACAGTCCCGGGCCGCCCCCAAGGACATCCACCCCATCCCCACCCCAGAAGAAATACTACACCCACCCCTCATTCGGACATCTCTCAAAACACATAGCACACTAGACACCTAGGCTGGGTCAAACTACCCCCTCTTAGGGGCCACTGGTCACGCCCCCAAACACCCAACCCCCCAGCCCATGAACCCACAACCCACCAGCGAGCCGAAGGCCCCCGCCCAGAACCGGGCACCAGAGCGCAAGCCGGCCCAGAGCCCGGCAACCCGCCCGCCAGAGCCCAAGATCCCCGAACCCCACAGGCCCAAGCCCGGGGGCGATAAGCCCCCAGAACCCCAAGCCCCCGCGCCCACCCCGAACCCACACCAGCACAGCCAGGCTACCAGATCGGTGACCCACGACTGCCGCCACAGACCACCTGAGGGCCTGCATGCAGCCACCAGCAGACATCCCCCAGAACCACCCAGGCCCTCCCCAGAGGGAAAGCAGTGCCCCCCTGCCCAGGTACCCCCAAGAGCCCAGCCCCCGGCAACCCCCCCGGGGCCCCAAACCCATACACCCGCCTCCACATCAACCCCAAGGCCCCACAAGGTCAGATCCCAGACTACCCACCCTCACTATGTAATGGAGCCGATCAAAGGAGCCCACAGAGATTGATCCAATGTGTCGGCAGATGCTGTTTCAAGACTGATATGATCTAACAGAAGATTTTTATACTGATTAATGCTAAGATTATTTTTATTTTTTATTGACCTTTACTTTTTAAATGTAAACGCATCAAAAATGCAAACGTTCATTTTAAAGACATAATAGAAATACATTTAAACGTATGTCTTTTGAAGATCAGCTAATCTTTTATTTTATTACCCTTCACTTGTTGAGACTGATTGCATTTGAGTTTTTTTCCCCCAGTCCTTTGTAGTTGTTAGATTTTGTTATTTGATGAGGGCGGCATGGAGGTGCAGTTGTTAGAGACGTAGCCTCACAGCAAGAAGGTCACAGGTTCACCTCCTGGACTTTCTGTGGAGTTTGCATGTTCTCTCCCTGCATTCACGGGTCTTCTTTGAGTAATCTGGTTTTCTCCCACAGACCAAAAACATGCATGTTGGGTTAATTGGCTAATTTTCCCTAGATGTGGGTGAGCATGTGAATGGTTGTTTGTCACTATACATGTTCATTTGATGGACATACAACCTGTCCAGGGTCCTGTTTCTTGCACAGTGACAAAGATTGGCACCATCTCCCTGTAACCTGGAAAAAAATAATCTGGTCTGAATTTTGATACAACTCTTGTTCTGTCTTGCCAGCCTCACTTCATGTTTTATTTTGTAGATACTATTTAGTTGCAAAGTGGATTTCTTTTATTTTAGTCTTCATTCCATTTAGTTTGCTATTACAGTTTTCTGGTCCTCATTTCTTCTGCAATTGGGTCATTCACCTCTCTGTCCATCTTGAAATGCTTATTCCATAACACTTTTAAAAAAAATGAACGTTATATAAGAGCAAAGCCTGTTCTTTCACCTCTAACCCAAGATAGTGTCATGGTCTCATAAAAGTGCTGATGAAGAAGACACTGACTTCCCTAAAACAAAGAACAGCAATAATCTTTAAAATATGCTCTGTCATCAAAACCCCTTTCCCTTCTGTTAGAACTTATCACAACTATTCATCTACTCTGTCCTTCTGTGATGGGGAGGTGATGAACACAGAGGCCACAGCAACATTGTGAGGGTGAATGCCATTAGCCAAACTGAATATTGAACAGATTAGACTGAATTAAAATGAAAAGCAAACCCTTGGTGCACTGCTTTACTCATAATTTAAAGTATTAGTATGAAAGCTTATTTTTTTGGACTGTACTTATGTTTAGATCTTATCAAGATACTCAAAGCGCTTTACAATCTGTGCCCTCATTTACCCATTCATACAGCACTCTATGGTCTATGCAAAGCTAATTAAACAAATCATTCTAAAGAGAATCAGAGCTTTATCACATTCATACACCGATGGGACACACACCGGAGGCAATGAGGGGTTCAGTGTCTTGCTTGGTACACTTCAGCATGTGACTACTGGTGGATTCAAACCCCCAACACTTGCATTGGAGGACGACTGCTCTAGCCACTCAGCCACAGCCTCCCGCCAGCTTAAAATAAAATATAAAAATTCAGCATCAAAATTTTGGTTTGGTGCATGAACACATAACACATGAACACTTAACTTTTTCACAGTTTTTTTCTCACTTGCCCTCGGCGAAGACGGATGCTTTTCTTCCTTCTGCTTTTGCTCTTTGTCCTGTGTATCAGAGACTCTCTTTACACATCTTCTTCTTTTTTTTTAATTTATCCTTTATTTATCCAGGTAGTCTCATTGAGCCACGAGAACTCATTTTCAAGAGAGACCTGTTTAGGGAGCACATGGTGGGGGTTAAGGGCCTTGCTCATGTGTCCAGAGTGGGGCGAATGAGGATGGGGGCAAGTGTGGCTGCTTCACTTACCCCACCCAGAATTATGATGTTGTCGGGGCCGGGGCGTGAACCGGCGATCTTCGGATCGCAGGCCCACCTCTCTAACCTTCGCGCCACCACTCCCCCTGAACCGTAAATTATTATTATGGCTCTGGTCAGCTGGTCTCTCAACGCAATTAATAACATTTTTTCGACCAAGAGACAGGGTATGAATGGATGCACACAGCTGTGTATGTCATGGATTCCTGGGGGTAGTGGAAGATGATGTGTCTGTCTGTACTGTCCGTGGAGGATGTAGAAGATGTGCACATTATTGGATTTATGATAACAGGGTTTCTGCTATTTGGAATTGGTGGATTCCTTGGATATCGACAAATTAGGAAGATGCCGGCAGCAGTTTCGGCCATGGTAAATCTGCCAACCTTATGTGAAGGATTAATTTGTGCTTCGAGCACTCAGACACATATGCTTTGCGAGCTCAACCGTAAGCTGGATGCAGTTTCTGAGAATCGTAGGACACTTGCGGCTCCTGGAACTCACCGGCACTCACTCGACCTTGGAGAAGGCTAACAAGCACGGACCGACAGAATGTCCATAAATCTGACTGTTTGGATTCGCCAGTGAGAGTACCAGCAGAACTGAAGGCAGACAGAAATCAGAGTCTGCCTGCCCAAAACAATTGTTGTTTATCTGAATCTGGCCTCCCAGCTTGACCTCGGATAGGCCAACTTATCTCAAACTGCTCCTGGTGGATATGTAAATCAAGAAGCTCTGCTCTGTCCACCCCTGCCCCCCCCCCCCCCCCCCGAGAACTTCTGTGAATGCTTATCAGAGTTGTACCGGCTGACAGAAACTGTAACATCTTATCAGGACTATGGAAACTTTCTGGAAGTGTTCATGGCTAAATCTCAGGGGTAGGCAGCACGGTGGCGCAGCTGGTAGAGCTGCTGCCTCTCAGCGAGAAGGTCGCCCCGGTTCAAATCCCTGCCGGGGGCCTTTCTAGGTGGAATTTGTATGCTCTCTCATGTGTGGGTACTCTGGTTTCCACCAAATAAAAAACATGCATGTTAGGCTGGTTGGTAACTAACTTGTTCCTGGGTGTGAGTGACAGTGAATGGTTGTTTGTTTTGTTTGTCTCTGTGGCCCTGTGATGGACTGAGACCTGTCCAGGGTGTCCTCCATCTCTCGCACAGTGATAGCTAGACATGGACACCAGTGACCCAACGACCTGAAAAGAAGTGCGTAAAGATAATGGAGTTTTGTTCCACCTCATGTACCACAAGTGATGTGAATGACATTAAAGAACCTTGAACCTTGTTTGCACCTGTCATCCATCGTACAGTTCTGCTCCTGCCCCGCCCCCTGTCACCTCTTCTCACTTGTCTTTTTCCCAGGTGTTTGTGATTTAGGTGAATTAATATTTCTTTATATTTTGCTGTTTGTTTCTTAGTTTTGCATTATGCTGAGTGCAGCCAGTTATGGGTTTATCCTATTGGTGTCTCCTAGAGTTGCCAGTGTTGCGTTTATATTGTAAGTAGTTTTGCTGCCTTCACAGCCAGATTTTTATTTTTTAATAGATCAGTTTTTTTTTTTTCAAGTCCACATGTCCTGTCTGCACTCCAGGGTTTCAAATCTTGAAACCTTGACGTTGCAATAGCTAAAAGTGAAGTAATTTGACAGTTAATGAAACTTGATATTTGAAATATACTGTATATTTGAAATTTGTTTAGTGGGATGAGATTTTAGGAAACAAACAAATTATAGTGGTTCATAGTAAACCGGTGCATTTTTATATGGTAGCGTCGGACTCTTTGTCCATATTTCAACACAATTATTTATAAATTCATGATTTTTTAACATAAATACTCATTAAATATTGATAACGTGGAGTTTTTCACTGATCGATGTTTATTAGTTTTGAATGCCCAGAGATGCACAATGACAATAAACTCAGCACTTTAAACAGTTAAACCAGTCTTGCTTAAAACAATTAGATTCAGCTTCATAAAAAATAAATACAACATAAATAATATTGTGAAAATATTCACAGTCATTCAGTGACACAAAAGTCAACCAACAGCGGTCTGTAACATTCACAATAAGATGAGAGCGACTCATCTATGTTCATAAAGCTGTAGAACAATGTGTTCAAGATAAACTCCCACTGGGAGGAAATTAACAATATCACAGAGCAATTCTGTACCACTCTTTACATATTACATAAATATGACAAAATAAAATATTCTTTGATGCATCTGACCTATCACGTGTACTATATGAGGCTGTCAATGCTGTTTTTGTAGACTTGTGGGGGCTCCTCGATGTCAGAGTTGCTGTAAAAAAAAAAAAATCACAAATGGAAGAATGTTATTACTGTACCTTTCTAGAAAACTTCAGAAGCAAACTTAAGAGAAATGAACACTGATCTCACCTGTTCAACTCAAATTTGGACGCTCTCTGCCTCAGTCGTTTCAGGATCCACATGGCCAGAGACAGAACCGATGCCAGAGCAGTGCCGCCTGCTGCCACGCCCATGGCAACAGTAGTAGCAGAAGAGGAAAGAGCTGCAGAACGTATGAGGCATGATTAATTGGCTCATTTCAAATTTCTCCTCAATGAATGTTATTTTTTTTTGTTTGTTTTACCTTGACATGTGGGCTTTTCCCCAGACCAAGTGCCATCATGACCACAGATCAGCAGCTCTTGCCCCTTTAAGGAGTAATCTTGATCACACATGAAAGAGCACTGGGAATTATAAACTGGCTCCTGGTTGGAGCAGTTAATATGACCATGTTCAGGAGCCGTGAGGGGCAGGCATTTAACAGCTGTTGGATGGAAGGGAAAAAAATACGTTTAAAGAAAAATCTTATTTTAGTGGTAACACATCACTGCCTAAAACAGGGCTATTCAACTAAATTGCTCAGGGGGCCACAGTTACTGAGACCAAGAGCTCATCAGCCGGACATCCAGCAGTTACTTTCATTAAATAAGTTTGTTTTATGGTTTAAAATCTAGTCTTATTTAAAATTAACCCATTAGTGGGCTGAACTGAGTTCATCCAGGGGCCTGATTTGGTCCCTGGGCCACCAGTTGAATAGCCCTGGCCTAAAAGCACTTCTGACTTGCATCTAAGCACTGCAATGCAAAAGGCCAAACAAAATGCTTTAGCTGTACCTTTGCAGGCAGGTGTGGCTTCATTCCAGTGTCCGCTCTCAGTGCACGTGGTAGCGTTTGCTCCCTGAAGTTCAAAGCCTGGCTCACAGCTGAAGCTGCAGCTGGAGTTCAGCCCAAGTTCAGTCAAAGGTTTGGTGCACTTTGTGATGACCGGAGCTTCTGCTTCTGGAAACTTGCAAGTGATGGCTGATGCAGGAAAGTAAATCGAACGAGAACAAAACACATTTACTGAAGAGCCTTCTTCGTCACGTGAAAAAGTTATTGGATTTTACTGAAATTGTTCTCTTACCTTCACAGTGCGCTGTCTGCTCACTCCACTGAGCTGCGGCTGTGCAGACGACCCTGCTCGGTCCCATCAGCCGATAGCCAGGCGCACAGCTAAAGCTGCAGGCGTTTCCGTAACTGAACCTCATTTCTGCGTCGCCTTCACAACTGAGAACGCTGTGGGCTGGTTGCTGGAGAGCTGGACACCGAACAGCTGCAAAATAGAAAAGAAGCATACAATTATAAAATCATTACAATATAAAGGCATTGCTTAAATTATTGTAATACAATAAAGACTATAATATTGTAAAAAGTAAAAGTATAAAATAAAACAAGGATAAATTACATGATAAGGCAAAGAATAAAAGTGCAGACTGAGGTGGCAAACGTGCTTCCGTACCTGTGCAGGTAGGTATGGCCTCACTCCATCGCCCATCCTCAGAACATTTAGTGGTGTTTGCTCCCTGCAGTTCAAAGCCTGACTCACAGCTGAAACTGCAGGTAGCGTCTAGTCGCAGTTCTGATCCACTGCACTGAATAACCATTTGAGCTCCAGCTTCAGGTCTCTGGCAAGTGATGGCTAACACAAGAGGCAAAGAGAACAACATTTAGAGAACATTTCCCAGTAAGAAGAGTTGTTTTATGGAAGGTATTTACACTTGAAGTGTTCCCTCACCTTCACAGTGAGGCGTCTGCTCACTCCACTCGGCTGCAGATGTGCAAGTGACCCTGGTTGGTCCCACCAGACGGTAGCCAGCATCACAGCTGAAGCTGCAGTTCTTCTTGTAGCTGAACCTCATTTCTGTTTCATCTTCACATGTGACAAAGCCATTCTCTAAATCCCCGAGAGCAGAACACTGGACAGCTGCAAAGAAGAGAGCCAAGAAATGGAAAAGTCTTAATGTCTCATAAAGGTTGCCTTTATAACACAGCAAACACAAAAAAAATGTGTTAACATTTGAAACTTGCAGAATCATTGTAGAATAAAATGTTTGTGGGACCATACCGACACACGATGGCTGCGAGGCATTCCACTTTCCTAAAGGTTCACATTGCAAGGTGTCAGACAAGGGTTCATCCAGCTCATAGCCTTCAGCACAGGTAAAGGTACAGGTGGATCGATAGCTGGAGGGTCCCAGAGGGTCTGAGCACCTCATGGAGCCACTTGAAGGTGGGAACAGTTTCTGACACTGAACCACTGTACATGAAAGGGCAAAACATAAATCAGATCAGATGCCTCAGAAATGCAAGTATATGAAACCCACTAAGATCAAAATACGTCATACATTGTCTTCTTAAATACAGCATCTTTGTAAAACACTCGAACTCACATTCACATGTAGGAGACACCTCAGTCCAGTTTCCTGCCTCGTTGCATCTCTGAGGTCCTGGTGTGCTCAGCTGGTATCCTTCCTCACAGAAATACCGACACGAGGAGTTGTAGGCAAAGTCTCCATATGAATGAAGGCAATCCACTCTTCCGTTCTGTGGGGCCATCACCTCGTCTTTGTTACATTTAACAACTGCGACAAAAACAATTTTTAATTTTAAGTCGTATGGCTATGAAAGTATGAATGTGAATAAGTGAAATTAGGCATTTAATTACCATGTTGGCACTTTTCGCCATAAAATCCTGGAGTGCACTCGCACCTGTGGCTGTTGATGGTCTCCACACATTCTCCATAGAGGCATGAGTCGTTCTTGCAGGCAGCTGGAGAGAAAGAGTCATATCGTTATAGATCGCTGAGTAAAAGTAGGTCAGCTTGTTGGTAAATTGACACAGTTGTAAACTTTTACAAACATCTAACCAAAACATGGCCAATTTAAAGTCCTCACCTGCGTAGCACAACGCCGTCTTGTGTTTTTTGCACCACTCATCATTCCATTTTCCTGTCTGCTTTTCCCTTTTAATGTACATCTCCACACAGTCCTCAGATTTCTCAACACTGTGCACATTCTTTACTTTGCTGTTCCCATTGTTTGGTTCGTTTTTTGCCCAGTTGGTGGCTTCTGCTGTCAGAGATTTGTTTGTCCCCACCCAGGTCCAGATGTTCTCAATCTTGCGGATCCCGATCCAGTAGTAGTTGTTCTTCCAGGGAAGCCAGCTGTTAAGATGCCCAATCTCCTCCTGGTTCTGGATCGCCACCATGTCCGTGTAGTGGGTCTTACACCAGACCCGAGCTGTATCCCAGTCCATGGTGGTGTTTGAGTAGAAGTAAGACCAACACTCTACACTGGTCCACATGTGCAGCACTGATGATGCGAAACAGAGTAAAACAGTCAGTAAGGATACATTTAAACTCTGTATTGTGAAAGTTCAAAGTGAGACATTCTGTCGGCATTAGATTTAAATACCTGAACAAAGAAAGAACAATCGGATCCACAAAGAAAACATCTTTAACTCAAAGTCCCGAGATAGCCCAAAGCAGAAATTCTACACATAAAAAATGAAAAATACAGTCAGATTATTTTTATATCAAACTATTCACCACGAGTTAAAACTGAGCAGAACAAAATATAAAATTAAACATCTACACCCACCGTTTCAGTTGTGATAAATGAAGAGCATCAAAAAGACTTGTGGTTCTTCTGAAGGATTCAGAGTTTCATACGCTGAGGGTCCTGCTTTTATACCTCCCCCTGGCCCAGTCCAAGTTTCCTGGAAGCTTTCATCACAGTCTGACTTTTCTGTGGAATTTCCCATCTCGCATGCCTGTCACTACACTGCCCTCTCCAGTGAAGAAACAATCAAAATGACTGGATCAATTCCATTTTTTTTTCTTATATAATTTATTTTAGGCAGCATTAATGCTATTTTTTTCTTTTTCTGGTTTCATGGATTAAAAAAGTAAATGTATTGAAGTGTGATCTTTTTGCAACTTTATATTAATTACAGTTAAGAGAGACATGTTTCAATCAATCAATCAACGTTAAAAAAACTTTTACTTATAGTGGCCTTTCAGTCAAATGTGCACAAAATGCTTCACAATACATAAGCTAAAAACAAACAGTATAAATGCCAGAGTGTTGATTGTTTCCTGTATACGGTATTTGTGTATTTGTGTGTATTTATGCTTCCTGTATAAATTTGCAATTCACATTACATTCTGAGTTGTATGACCACCATATATGCAAGTTTGAAGAGTTACCATTTTGTTTAAATAAATCATTAAATTTATGTAAGATGCTTTATTTAGTCATACACGTGCACACACACACACACAGCCTATATGATAAATACTAATGATAAAAAATTTATTAAAGCACTATTGCAAAATGGAAGGCAGCTTTGTAGTCAAAGAAATACATATATAATAGAAAATACATTATAAATGTGTTGTGCACACAGACTGTATCTGAAATCACAAACATCAACTGCAACCAAAGTAAAACATTTGAACGCATGTCCTCTATTCTTTAGTACAGCTTCAAAAACAGTTTATGTCAAAATATTTAATATAAAATTTCCTGTTTTAAAGATGTAGCATGATGATCTTCAGTTTTCATCATAGGACAGATAAAAAAAAAACATTCTAAATGTAGCTGAAAATCAATTCATCCCTAGTATATACTCCATGTGCCGCCCATAGTGTAACGTTGTTACCTGTTTGTTAGCACAATATGTTGTGAACCCCTTCATTAAACATGCACTGTGCCTTCAGGTTCATGCTTCACCTACAGAAGAGATCTGCGATTGAAAGGTATTTACTTGGATAAATAAAGGTTAATTAAAAAAAATCAAATTGTGA